GGTGGGTCAGTGTCCTGAGGGCAGCGCCAGGGGAGACAAAGGATGGACAGCTTTCAAATTCCCAGATAATTTCTAAAGTCCTGTACCAGAACTAACTTATGCAAGTGTGAAGCCCAAATCTGTTATGTGTTCCATTCTAAGGTACCTATTGTACAATAAATGGTTCTTTCATAATGGGGTGGGGGGGGGAGTGGGGGAGACTATGTATCAAAACAGCAGATAAATTATAAGAGAGGACTCAGATTCAGAGCTGGGGAAAAGTGTGTCTTACAACCGAGGAGCTTGGCCTGTGTCTGGCTCTGAGCTTCATGCCCCTACACCCACGGTCTGGAATCCTCGGCTCAGCTCATCAGCTTCCTGCCACCCGAGGCCAGTCCTCCCGCTGTGCGTGTCTGGCGCTGTGAATGGCGTGGCCTCCCACCCTCAGCCCTGCTAGAACCGGGGCCTGATCCTCGCCTCCTCCCCCTCCTCCCTCCCCACGGCCCATCAATCAGCAGATCTGGTCTCTTCTGCCTCCTAAGTATTTCTGGAATCCAGCCCCTGCCCCTTCTTCATCCAGACCCCCAGTGCACCTCATCCGGAGTTCAACACTGCTTTATTCCTGGCCACCAGCCTGTCCCATGCTCTCCCGGCGTGATCTCCCGCCCCGCTTTCTTCCTCCCTCTTTCATTCTTCCGTTACGTCTTTCAGAATATTTTAAGCACACCCAAAAGTATAGAGAAATATATAATAGCACCCAGGTATGCACTGCGCCTTGTCAAATCTTAATATTTCCCCCTATTGGCTTCCAGTCCTTTCATCTTAAGTAAGACACTACTGCTAATTGAAACCCCTTGTGGGCCCCCGCTTCCAAACCCCCTTCTTTTTCCCCCTCTCTGAGGAGGGAGCCACCATCCTGATTTTTAAACTGCTCATGCTTATGCTTGTTATTATTTTGGCCACATAGTACATATCCTTAAACTATGAAGGGTGTTGCACGTGTCTCTGCGTGACTTGCTTTTTCTGATCAATGATGCTTTTTCTTTAAAAAAATTGTTTTATTGTGGAAACTTCCCAACATATACAAAAATAGAATCATCTACTGAATGCCCGTTACTCATCACCTAATTCTGACAATCATCGACTCATCAAATCATCCCCCGGACCTTCCCACCTTCGCCATTTCAAAGCAAGTGATATTTTTTTCTCATCTGTATTTCAGTATGTGACTCTCAAAGATGAGGCCAATACCATTATCACACCCGGTAAAAATGTGATCGTAATTCCTTAATATCAAGTCTGCAGTCAATGTTAAAATTTGCCCAACTGTTGCAACACATGCTTTGTGTACAATTGGTTTGTTCCAATCAGGGTCCCAACAAGGTCCCTGTGCGGCATTTGGTTGATATGTTTGTGTCTCGAGTGTCACAGACATTCTGATGCTGATCCAAAGAAACTAGACAGAAGAGAGGACATACGTATGATCCCACTGATAGATTTAAGAACAGGTAGAAGTGGATCTTTGGTGATAGAAGCCACAGTTCTGGTTTCTTTGGTAGCGGGGGCAGACACTGAGCCGAAAGGGGGCGGTAGGCCCTTCTAGGGTGCCGGAAATGTTCTGTCGTCTCTTCACATATTAGCTAAGAAACTACCACCAAGAAAGACTTCATCAGGAGAATCTTCCTTTCATCAGCTCTTTGATGACTTTGTGAGTCTTAAGGGAAAAGCTCGTTAAGTGCTTGATTCTGAATTACAGTTTTCGGATTCATGAACTGATTCTCTGGCATCCTCCAAAGGTGACCTGTCGTGTTGTTAGTATGTTATGAATTCGTGGATTGTTGACATTATCTGGTATGTGTCAATCCTTTGCCCTTTTTCTCACCGATGTGCAAAGTGTCCCATCTTTAAACAGCGGGGGCCTCTTCAGGTTGGTACCTGCGTCCTGTGGACACCAGCACCAAGTACTCGACAGGTGCTCCTGGGAGCGCCATTCGCTTTAACTGTCGCCTGCTGTCGTGTGTGTACTTGGTGAACTTTCGGAAACGCAGACATAAAGTTATCTCTCTGCTTCCTAAAACCCTTTAAGGGAGGAAGTCCACGCTCCTCCTCCGGGGCTGCTGGGCACTTTTGTTACTTCCTCCGGGTAGATCTGTCCCTCCCCATCTTGAACGCAGGCTGTTATTCATACTAAGCTCCCGTGAGCACCTTGAACATGCCACACGGACCCGTGGTCTGTAGGCAGCTACTCCCTCTATCTGTCCTTACCTTCCCCCACCTGCCCTGGGCTGGCCAGCTTCTGCTCCTACCTCTGGTCTCATTGCAGCCATCCTTTACCCGAGGAGACCTTTCCTGGATGTTCCCACCTCCCCTAATGCTGACTTGGGTGGCCCTCCCCCACAGAGTCATTATCGACGCAGAGGCCAGCGTTCACACTGCCTTCTAGGGAGAGAGGGTGGCCTGCAAGGTCAGGTCCATGCCGAAGGAGACAGCTGTGCCCGGCAGACCACCCGCCCCGCTGGTAGCGTCTCCAGCCCCCACTGGAGAGGGGACCTCAGCAGATGTGAACAAATACCAGAAAGCCTTATGCTGAAGATATTACCGTACATCTTTGACCAGCCCCACCCACCCCCCACCCCCAGTCATAGATAGGGCTTATCACTCCGTGTTGTAACTCTTTCCTTGTCTGTCTGTCCTCCCTCCACACCAGCCCAAGTTGTAGGCTTCCAAAGAGCAGGGTCTGGCTTCATTATCTCCTGCTCTGTCCCTCACATTTAGCATACTGCCTGGCTTATAAGTGGTTCTCGTTCTTGGACAGGGTAATTATTGCCTTGAGAGACCTCTCAAAATGCACCTCTCCAACCCCCCAGTCCCAGCCAGCAACCCTCTAGAATCACCTGGGGGACCTTTTTGCAAAATTCAGGTGCCAGGGACCACCGCAGACCTGTTTATTTAAATGAATCTACTGGGGACGCCTGGGGGGCTCCGCGGGTTGAGCACCTGCCTTCCCCTCGGGACGCGATCTCGGGTCCTGGGATCAAGCCCTGCTCAGCGGGGAGCCTGCTTCTCCCTCTCCCTCTGCCCCTGCTTGTGCTCTCTCACTCACTCTCTCGCAAACACATACATAAAACCTTTAAAAATAAATACATAGGGCGCCTGGGTGGCTCAGTTGGTTAAGCGACTGCCTTCGGCTGAGGTCACGATCCTGGAGTCCCGGGATCGAGTCCCGCGTCGGGCTCCCTGCTCAGCAGGGAGTCTGCTTCTCCCTCTGACCCTCTTCCCTCTCGTGCTCTCTATCTCTCATTCTCTCTCTCTCAAATAAATAAATAAAATCTTAAAAAAAATGTTTAAAAAATACATAATAAAATGACTCTCTCAGGGGTGGAGCCAGACAGGTGTCCTTTTTAAAGCTCCCAGGTGATCCCAACATGCAGACCCAGGACCCCAGCTCCAATTGCATGTGCCCCCAACCCAGGAGGGCGAGCAGGAGGGGACTCCAACGCCCTTACGGCCTCCTGCCCTTTGACCTTGGCCTAGGGTCTCCCCGCTAGGCTGAGGCATCTAGGCAAGGGGTTGGCAGGCGGGGCAGGGCGGGGGGCCTCCACCCACCATTGGGCCCGGGGGGTGGGGTGGGGGGTGCAGCAGTGTAGTGACGGAGCCCCCGCCGCAGTTCGAGGAGATCCACGAGGTGATTGCGCGCTACAAGACGCTGGTGAGCATGCACCAGGACCTGATGCAGTCGGCGCAGGAGGGCCAGGAGAAGATCGAGCGCGCCAAAGCGCGGCTGGCGCGCTACATGGAGGAGAAGGACGACGAGATCCTGCAGCACAACAACGAGCTGGCGCGACTGCAGATGCGCTTTGACCGCGCCCGCAGCGACGTCATCGTCTGGGTGAGCGCGGGGGCGGGGGCGTGGCCGGGGGGGCGGTTTCCGGGCGCGGCGTGAGCGAGGGACCACACACGGGGCCGCGCACACACCTGCTCACGTCCCGGCCCCACCCCCTCCCCAGGAATCTCGCTGGGCACACATCCAGAACACTGCCGCCAAGAAGACCCTCTTGCTTGGCACCATTAAGATGGCGACACTGAACCTCTTCCAGATCGTGAGCAAGCAGCTGAAGGAGACCACCACCGTGTCCCTGGAGGACACGCATAAACAGCTGGACATGGTAAGAGGCAGCGCAAGGGCCCTGGCCCCTGGGTCTACTGAGCTAAGATGGTTGTCCATTGGTCCGAGGCAAGAATGAACCCCACAGAACTGGTTCTCAAATTTAACAGGATCAGAGTCACCCTGGGGGCTGGGGAGGGTTGCTGGGCCCCAGCCCCAGAGTGTCCGACTCAGTACGTCTGAGATGAGAACCCATGAATTTCCATTTTTCAACAAGTTCCCAGGTGATGGTGCTGGTCTGGGTTCCACACCTTCAGAACATTGGTCGTAGTCCACAAGGGCAATGGCAGGGACCCACTAGTGAACTCAGTACTTGTGCAAAACAGTTTTACTGAATTCTAGAAAGAGGCTGAAGGCTCGTGCCCAAGGTCCACTCTTTGGGAAAAGAGAAAATTGGGGGTTGGGGGGTAGGGGGAGGAATCAGCAAGTTTAGGGAAGTGTTAGGGTCTTATTAATACCAATCTGATGTTTCTCTTTGAAATAGCTGAAAGGAGGGGCACCCGGGTGGATCAGTTGGTTAAACGTCTACCTTCAGCTCGGGTCATGATTGTGGGGGGGGGGTCCCTGCTCAGTGGGGAGTCTGCTTTTCCCTCTCCCTCTGCCCCCTCCCCTGCTTGTGTGTGCGTGCTCTCTCGCTCTCTCTCTCAAATGAATAAGTAAAACTTTTTTTTAAGATTTTATTTATTTATTTGACAGAGAGAGACACAGTGAGAAAGGGAACACAAGCAGGGGGAGTGGAGAGGGAGAAGCACGCTTCCCGCGGAGCAGGGAGCCCGATGCGGGGCTCGATCCCAGGACCCAGGGATCATGACCTGAGCCGAAGGCAGACGCTTAACGACTGAGCCACCCAGGTGCCCCAATAAGTAAAACTTTTAAAAAAATAAAGTAACTGAAAGGAAATTGGAAAGGAAATACCCTTCTCACTGCGTGATTCAAAGCTGTTCAATGCCATGTGCATGCACTACCCCAAAATCATCTCACTTCTGACCACAGATGCACATATCCCACAGTTGGGGTAACTCCGTGAGGGCAGATGCATTAGCCATGCTTCTCGTGCCATACAGAGAACCTTGACTAATTCTTCATTCCTTTGGCAAAAGCCTTGGGCTCTGCCGTGAAATAATAGAATTTAAGCTCCAGAAGGCAGGGAGTTCTGTTTGCCTTGTTCCCAACTGTATCTCAGTATCTAGAACAGTGCCTGGCACACAGTAGGTGCTCAAGAAGTGTTTGGTGAATGAATATGAAACACAAGCCAATAAAAGCCATGGACTGGAAGGTACTTGCCCTATTTAACAACAACAAAAAAATGAAACTTGGGGCGCCATGGGGGCTCAGTCAGTTAAGCGTCCAGCTCTTGGTTTCTGTTCAGGTCATGATTTCAGGGTCATGATACTGAGTCCCGCGTGGGGCTCTGCACTCAGTGGGGAGTCTGATATTCTCTCCCTCCCTCACCCTTGGCCCCTCCCCCAACTCGGGTGCACGCTCTCTCTAATAAATAAATAAATCTTTTTAAAAAACAAAAATAGGGGCACCTAGGTGGCTCAGTCATTAAGCATCTGCCTTTGGCTCAGGTCATGGTCCCAGGGTCCTGGGATCGAGTCCCGCATCGGGCTCCCTGCCCGGCGGGGAGTCTGCTTCTCCCTCTCCCACTCCCTCTGCTTGTGTTCCCTCTCTTACAGTCTCTCTCTGTAAAATAAATAAATAAAATCTTTAAAAAAAAAAAGTAAAACTCATGAAATGTAAAGGATTTCACCCACTGACCAGCCCAGAAGAGGGATTTCCCCAAACCGGACAATCAGCCTGCAGCTCAAAGTATGTAGAGCAGAATTATTGACAGTTGAAAGACTATGAAGGAAATTGTTAAGAAAGTTTGTTCCAAAGCAGCGATTCTCAAACTTTTTGGTATCAGGAGACCTGCATACTCTTAAAGTTGATTGAAGACCCCCAAAGAGCTTTTGTCTACTGATACTTACCGTATCAGAAACTCAAGCAGAAAACTTAAAAAGAATTCACTTTTCAGTGATAAGAAGAAGCCGATCAACATCAATGGCATGCTTGATGAAAAACACGTTTTGGAAACAATACTTTGTGGGACAAGTCGCACTTTCACAAATCCATTTAATGTCTGGCTTCATGGAGGACAGGTGGATTCTCCTCTCTGCTTCTGCATTCAACCTGCTGTGATAGAGCCCTACGTCATGGAAACACCCCAGTCTGATAAAAAGCCACTGTATGCTCATGACAGAAAAAGACAAGTAATGTCTTCGTGTCACTGAAAAAGGACTTTGCCCCTGCAGACCCCTGTCCCTGGCAGAGGGATCTCAGGGACTCCTGGAGGTCCTCAGGCCCCTCTCTGTTAGCTGTTGTAAAGCAAGGCGGTGTTCATCTCCAGCTCCCCAACCCACCCAAGCATTCCCTGCTCAGACCCTAGCTCCCAGCCTGTCCACTCCCGATTTTGAGCTTTCTATAGGAACACTTCCTACTGCTCAAGTTATTTTAAAAATATCCCACAGCCTCCCCATAGGACGGGAGCCTATGGACAGACATACACATGATCAACTAGCCTGAAACAATTAAAAACAAGGATCTGGGAAAATTAACGTCACAACCGAAGGTCCAGGCCTGAGTGAGAAATACAGACTGCAGATGCTTGGAGTATAAAGGAGAGTAGCTCAAGAGGGTCAGTAGTTGGTTCTGTGCCTCCTGATGACAAGAAGGAAAAGCAACACATAGTTCTTGTGCCAAAATGAGAAAACGTAGGTGTGCTCAGAGCAAACCTTCTCCGGTGCTTGACTCTAATTGAAATTTCCCAAGGAGGCTGCAGAGACTCCCAGCACATGGATGTTCCCAAAAACATCCCTATGACGCAGCCAAGCACGAGCTCTGGAAGGCAGCCACTTATCTAGAATTTAGGAGCATGGTCCCACAGTACAACTTAGGAAGCATGATTTTGCAAAAGGCTGAATTTGAATTCAATGGTACCGTGTCTTGGAAGGTCCAGCATGATCCCTGAACAAAACCCGAGCTCTCTGGAGTGGCATTTTCCTAATGGTTCTTGGCAAATCCTAGGACCCCAAGAGGTGGTCAAGTTTCCTATGGGGGAATCAAAGGAGGTCGTGGACTAATAGATTTGGAAAATTCTCAGTGAAGCAAAGTTAGATGGTCTTTACACACAGGACTCCACCGTCTTTGCTATGGTTCTGCCCTGAGACTTTCCAAGCAGATAACATTTCTAAAACTAACTTGACCACAGAACCCTTTTTGTGGGGGAGTGTGATGACTGGTTATAAGAACACAGAACATGGAAAATTCTGGGCTTGTCTCCTCTGTAGCCTTGGGGAAGAGACTTTAATTCATTGACTCTTTGTTTCCTCTTTTGCAAAACAGGAATTGTATCCATAATAGTAACAGTATTCATGGCAGACAGGGTTGTTGAGGGTTTGGGATGGTCTGTGTAGTCCCAGCTCCAGGAACATTCTCGAAAAGGAGAGATTTTAGAACTGAGGTCTTAGAGGCCATCGAGGTCAACCCATTCTCCCCCTTCCCTTCTTGAAGATGAAGAAGCTGAGTCCCAGAAAGACGAACTGATTTGCCCAGAGCTGCATCAATAGACCAGGTCCCCACGTGGCACATGGAGCCCGTGTTCTTTGAAACAGAAGCTAGTGAACAGAACTCAAGCTTCCCTTGTGACTCAGGATTGTCAAAACGGGCATCGGTTCTGCGTTCCAAGTAAATGCCCCCCTTGAAGGCTATTAAATTGTGGGTAGCCGTCTCCCCCAACACTGCTGGCCCCCGCCTGCCAGAGGCTTCTAGGGCCCGAGTCTGCTCAGCATCCTCTCGTCTTTGCCCCATCCATCAGACTGTCCACCGTTCTTCTTCATGCTGTCACCATGTCAGCCCCCAGGAGCTCCGTGTTTGTGCCTCCCGGTCTGCTAAGCCTGATGCTTCTACTAGAATAACTGTCAAGTAAGGGAAAGTTAAATGCTTCAAGAAGTCAGTCGCAGAGAAACAGCGACTCCCTCTAGGTTATGCCCCAACGTGCTCCGTGTGGGGACGGGGTGGCCTGATGCTGGGTGGGCTAACTCGGGTCCCCTTGCCTTGTTAGATCCAGCAGTTTATCCAGGATCTGTCGGACATCTGGGCAGAGGTGAGGAAGAAAGAGCAACAGCAAGTCCGGGTTTAGGGAGCAGCCGCGGTTCCAGAATGTTCTGAGACAGAGACGGAGAGAAGATGGGTTCCTGGTGAGCTTGCAGTCCCGTCAGCCCAGTCCAGCTGTCTGGGGACCCCTGTGCCTTTCTGCTGGCGAACACCCTGCCATTTTCCTGCCTCAGGCCTCAGTCCCTCCCGTCCCTGAAAACATTAAATTCTGTAAGATGTTTGTTTCTAAGGTCTGTCCCTTTTTGGTTTGTTCATGGGGAAGACGGTCCATTGAGGGGAGAAAAGCACCCCCTCTTGAAGCTGGTCACTTAGGCAGCCCAGGGACTCGAAAACAAATCTCGGGCCTGGCATGTCCTAGGCTTTGGACTTGCACACAAAAAGAGGCCAGCAGCGGGGTGAGTACCTAGGACCCTTCTTTCCTCTATCAGTTCAAAAAAAAATTTTTTTTTGTAAGTTGGGGTTTCTAACCGGGGATTCAGAGACTCACTAGAAACTGCGAATGCAGCTTCCCAAGTTGGAGTGCCATAGGTGGTGAGTCCAGGACTGTCCCCAACCTAGACCAAGCCCTGCGCCCTACCCACCGGGACCCTACAACACGCAGCGTGGTACCAGCGACGCTAATACGGGAATAGCAGGCAGGCTGCCGAAGGACTCACCTCGGCAGGCTGGAATGACGGTTACAAAGCAGCAAAACTCAGGCGCCTGGGTGGCTCAGTCGGTGAAGCATCTGCCTTCGGCTCAGGTCATGATCCCGGGGTCCTGGGATGGAGCCCCACGTCAGGCTCAGCGGGGAGCCTGCTTCTCCCTCTGCTCCCCTCTTGCTATCTCTGTCTCTCTCAAATAAATAGACTCTTAAAGGGGAAAAAAGAAACCAGCAAAATTGAACCGAGTAGAGATTAATGTAAAATTTTGCACTCAGGGTCAAAAACTCAAATCAGGTCAGATCAGAGAGCAGACAAAGAAAACAACATTTATTGAACATATATTCATGCACACGTCATCCGGGTGAAAACCCCGCGGGGCCCCACTATCTCTGTCTTGGGGAGCGGCACGCCTGCTCGGGGTCGCTGGCTACAGGTGACAAGGTCGGGAGTCACAATGGTGCCTCCTGTCCCGGGCCGGTGCTCCCTCCGCCAGGCTGCCTCTCAGAAGGTGGGAGCATTGTTGCCTTCCCCTCCGAAGCCAGTAGCAGAGCAGGACGGAACGAGGGGTCCCCACTGAGAGGGCTGGGGCAGCCTCCCCTGTGGGGATCCCGCTGGGGGCAGCGGGTAGCCCTCACTTGGGATGCGCCAACTTACAGGGGCAGGTGTGTGCTCCCCAGACCAGCTGCATCAGCATCACCTGTGAACGTATTAGAAATGCAAATTTTCAGGCCGTGCCCCAGGCCTGAGAGTCAGAAACGCTGAGGGTGGGACCCAGATCCCCCGGCTTTTTAATAAGCCCTGCAGGTGATTCACCCGGCCCAGGGTCCGAGTGGGAGAAGCTGGTGGGGGGGCCCCCGGGAGGGTGCAGCAGTCCTGGCCTCACGTGGCTGGGTGTGAGCTTCACTGGGGGGGGGAAGCCTCCCACACAGTCTCTCGGGGTCCCCCACGCCCCCTCACCGGAAGCACCCATAAAAAGAAACCCTGGGAACTACAGGGCTGTCTGGCCCCCAAGCCTCCACACGGTGCCTCCTCTGTCACAGGTGAGGGCCAGGGCGGTGGCCTCTGGGAGGGGCTGGGGGCAGAGGCCGTTCTGGGAACCCAGGATGGTGAGGTCTGGGGGCGCTGCTCCCGGACAGTGGGTAGTGGTGCGGGAGGGAGATGGGCGTCAGGGCCCTCCGGAAACAGGTTTGGGGGTGACGGGTGTGCCTCTAAGATAGCTCCCCCTCCCCCTTTGAGTCTCCTGGGCTGTGTCCTGGGAGGTGGGAGAGGGTGCAGGACACACAGTTCTCCCAACGCCCCAAGACACAAATCCCCCCTGTTTTCTGCTGTGTCTGTCAGGTGGGGGTCGAGATGTCCAGACTTCCAGGACTGAACCCCCTTCCTGGGAGGCTTAGGATCCCCTCAGCCCTGCCCCAGGCCCTCCCTCTCCCTCTCCTCCCCCTCCTCTGCCCTCTCCCTTTCCCCTCCCCCTCTCCCTTTCCCTCCACCCCCCTCCCTCCCTACCTCTTTCTTTTCCCTCCCTCTCTTTCCCTCCTCATCCTTCCCTCCCCCTCCCTC